ATAAAAAAAAAAAAATTTTTAATAAAATTGTCAATAAAAAATTTGAACAAAATTTTTTAAGTAAAAATTAAAAAAAAAAAAACTAAAATGCATAAACGCCAAGGCATGGATTTTCATTTCTACATATGTTGGTATGTTTGTATGCAAATTTCAACTTTTTCATATTTTTCTTATCACATTTGTTTTTTTGCAGAAAAAATCTTGTATTTAATTTTTTTTTTATTAAAACAACCCAGTTTGCCACCGAAGGCATCTAAGGGCAGGAAACGTTTTTTCAACAAGATCGGAACATAAAGATGTGTATAAGAGAAAAACATTACCACATTTAACCCAAAGCCTTGATTTTATGTAAAGAGCACTTTCATTGACAAATACAAAAAAAAAATTAAGTTTAAAAAAAAAAATAATAATAAATATTGAATTTTACATAAAACTATTATATGAAATTACTTACCAGTATGTAGCACTATTTGTTAAAAACATATTTTTTCATTATAATTTTTGGAAATATTTTAGAAAGAAAACAACTGCATTTAAGATTTCATATTTTTATTTCTTTTATTTGTATATTTAATATTGTGTATTGTATAAAACTAAAGCTTAACAATAATTTATATATGTTAAAATATACATATATGTATGTGTGTATACATATATTCAATAATATTTTTTTTTTACTTTACACTTAAAATTACAATAAAATGCGCTAAAACTATTATTAATGTGCTAACACAAAAAAAAATGGAAGCCAATGGATGAGAAAATTTTCTTCTTGTTTAAATTGAATTTAAAAAACACAAATAATAMAAATTAAATTAAAAGCTTTCAATTGTGTTACACTAAAAATTAATTATAATATGTAAAATAAAAGCGCGTGAAAAATACAATTTATATGATAACATTATTGTTGTTCACATTTCCGCACTAATTAATTATTTTAAAGCCAATTTTCAAGCAAAGAAATGAACACGTGTTATTTGTTGAGGGGGAAAAATTAAATTAGGAAATACCAAAAAATAAATGAAAAAAAATTAAATTAAATTAAATATTATGTATAAATAAT